CTTGCTAGCTAGTCGGGAAGTGAGCAAAATATGAGTTGCAAAATTTGATCTGGACAAACAAATGGACAAGAAAGCAAGTTAATAAAAACGTGTTAAAATATTCTTAATACGGTGTATAAATAAGTGAGAAATTTGCATATTTTGAAAGAAAAATGTGATTGTCATATTTCTGTTGGAAGTAAGATGTGGAAGACTGAGAAAATATAGAAATAATCGAGAGAAAATTTTTTATGCTTGGCCAATGGACGATAATCACCGACGTCCTCAGGACGATTATTATTGGACAGAAATTGTGGCATCCTCGAAAAAATAATTTTTTTTCTCTCAATGCGTATTTTCTTCTCGGATAAATTATGATATAGTCAGAAATCTTCATGAAATAGCTTGAAATTATATTTATTTCCCCAGCCGGTAACAATTGTGGTTGTATGGACGATGTCGTGATCGTTTTTCTCTCATCTTCGTTATAATCGCTCTAAAATGATAATTGAATGTTGTTAATAATTCAACTGATTTCTTTTAATTGGAGATCTCCCAGAGAAACTTGAATTTTCTTGGGGCATTGAAGACAAAATTAATCGACAGGAGCACATCTGCTTTGTCAATAAATTTTCCAGGTGGCGACTGGCGTTTCAATGGGGTTTTCTATGTCATTTTCATTGAGGAAGATTTGTTTTTCAAAATAAATTGGCAGTTCTCGAAGGTGGCGTCTTATGAGGGGTCTTTTCATGAGGTTTTGACTGTATTTCGAGTTTGTTTGGGTAAAGGAATCATGCTAAGATGAAATGGTTTTTCAGTTGTTCACGGGAATATTTATTTAAATTTCAGCCTTATGTTCCTGGGCGATGTGATCAAGTGCTGAAATGGAAACCTCATCATATGAATTCCGTGGATTTTCGATTGATGATCCAACAAACGAAAGGAGAAGGGTATGCTTTTTTTCTTCGTCTTACTGGATATTCTTGAATGAATTGCCTCGATTCTTTTGGACAGAACGTGGAAAAAGTTTCTCGAAGAATTTTTATGGCTAATTTGAAAGAAGTTGCCTTCGCTTTGGGAAGTGCGTTAAACGATTCATCTTTTTATTATTTTTTAATAAATTGACGCATTTATTTCTTGTATATTAGCTTTCAAATTGCGAAAATACTGTAATCTACCGTATTCTGATTTTTGACGTCTCACTTTTCAATTATTTTTGTGCGTCCGTTTTCTTTTGTTACAAGGAAGAGAGTGAAGTATCAGTGAACCATTCATGGAAACATTTTCTGATGCATTTTGCGTCAAAGAATTGAATCCATCACATTTGTTAAATCGGTTGTATAAAAAACTGAATTGATTTAATTCTGATGCATTTATTTTGGGTTTCGCAGACAGCTGCCGGAGACCAAAGGGTTTTTGTACGTTGGAAGTTACGAGAGGCCCTTTGGCCAGATCAAGATCACGAAACAGCTGAGGAAAATGCACAACAGAATCATCGAGTGCAATTACGACGGGGCGACAAGTCAGTGGCTTTTCATGCGGGAACGAACTGACAAGAGCTTTCCCAATGGATATAATACCGCCATGGGTGAGTGTAGGGAGATTAATGATTATCGTATTTTTTAATGAGAAAAAACGTTCGAAGTTTTCAATCAACCGGATGAGTTTCAGGCAAAATCCCATGATTCACGAGTGGTCGTAATATTTTTGTTACTGCAACTTTTTTTTTTTCAGGAAATAAAATCTTGTGTCAAAACGAATAACTTTCTCTCAAATGAAAACGAGAGCATCTGAAAATTACTTGTGCACTGAAAACACTTCAATTTGTACAGGTGGTCTCTTTCTGCAATAAAATTCAGTGAACCAGAAGAAAGTTAGATGTGGAGAATCCCATGAGACTAAAAAATAAATCGTTATACTGTACATTACGGAGAACATATTTTTAGAGAGCCCACCTGTCTTGTGTATTTTCCTGGTGTGTCCGTATGACGAAAACTTGTTTTAGTGCTGATAGATGTCACTGGCACTCACAATGAACTTTTAATTTCAAAATTATTCTGATTAACGTCTTCTTTTCGATCTTTCATGTGGTTGGAATGGATGAATGATTGGGTTCTAGGTTGAATTTTCATGAATTAATGTGAGCTTTTTTCCCAAAACCCAAACAATTTTTTTTAACCTTTTGGATGTCTTTGCAATCAAAGTTGGGCCTTTTTTGAAATTATGTAAATGAGTGTAATTATTTTTTGCTTGTTATTTGTATATTTATGCGTCGTGCATGTGTTTCATGCAAGATTTGGAAGAATTGAAAAATACTGACTTTTCCGCTGTAGAAGATTTTTGTTAACTATTCATGATATTGTCCATTTTTTTCTAAATGAAGCAATTTTTCGGAAAGACGGCTTCAGTCCGCCTAGGTTTATCAGTATGTAATTCATCATGGCGTGTTCTGAGCGACTCCCTTCTTGAAATGAATGGCGTGCTGATTATTGGAGCAAATTGTTGAAGTTTTCTGTTGTACCTTTTCAGCTGTGTGCAACTCGATACAACGTCCAGTGACGCAAGAATTCCTCTTGGACTTCATCAAGGAGCGAGGATTCAAAACGATGCCTCCTCCGCCACCGCCTGTGGCTAGGGCACCAAAGCGCCCTCATCCTCCTGATGAAGACCGGGACTAAGCACATCGTTGAAGCGAGAAAAAAAGCCCCGTTTGTTCTGTCAGTCTTCTCTGTTTTTTTTTTTTTATTGTTCAGATCTCGTGGTTTCTTTTACGCGTTGAACTTTGTGATCCGTTCGATTCATGTTGTGCTGACGAAAACGACTGAATGTTCTTGCGTTTTGCTGGGACGATGAATGATTTGAATCCAAGGGGGGGGAAAGAAACCGATTTGAATCTGTGAAGCGTCGAGTTGATGCCGTGTCTGAAAGATGATGTTTATCCGGGTTTCGGGTTTTTCCTTTTAGGCTGTTATAGAACAGGAAATTTGTTTCGCGATGGCATTGGCCGAATTGTGTGGAGTGAAGGACATGAGTTCCGCGTTCACTTCGATGAATTTGTTTGGCCGTGATCGGTGTGACGAGTCAGACGCCTTGGAAGATTTGAAATTGCATTCCAAGCAGCTGGAAGGAGAGCTGAACTTTCTTCGGACCCCATTGATGAGTCTGGTGAGTGAAGTCGACGAGCAAATGATGAATGGGATTTGGTTATTTTGAAATAGTTTTTTTTGTGTGTGTGTGTGTCTTGTCGAAAAAAATCTTGAAATTTCTGGTCGAGCTTCTGCAGTTTTCATCAGTCATCTTAAAAGCTTCGGTTTTCGGTGTCCTGTTCGGTTTATATTTTTGTTCCTAATTTGGACGTTGGATTTTCGCAAATGAAATACTGTACTTTATTGTGGATGATCTGTTGAAACTCCGAGTGAAAGGTGCTTCCAATCTCGACTAAAATATCGTCGAATCTCTTATTTGTGGTTTTCTTTGACGATAAATTTTCTCACTCAGTTTGAGAACGTTGTGGATCACATGCGAGTGTTTAAAATATTTTTTAGGAAATGCAGTTGACGTTCCGCAGCAAAACATTTTCGAGAAAAAACGGAAATCCAGTCACAATTTTTTTTTAAATGTGAATATGTTATCCTTTGTAATATTTACCAGTATTTTGAAAGCTTCGGTTCTGTTGTCGCTTTCTGCTTCTCATTTTTTTCAAGAATGTAGTCCGATTTGGTTTTTAACGATTTTTTGTTTCCAAAGCCGGGGACTGCGTATACCAAAGAGTTGGGGCCCGATGGAATGGGCAGACCCATGAAGATGCATTTTGATCATGGCACGACCACTCTGGCTTTCCTCTACCAAGGAGGCGTTGTCATAGCTGTGGACTCAAGAGCAACTGGCGGAAGTTACATTGGTGAGACAACATTTCTATAAGACTATTGGTGTTGATGGGCCAGTCAGGACAGGTTATTTATGCTATAGTTTGACTTCTACTGTATTGATGCGTTGTTTCTTTTCGGATTGATCCTATTGATGCTGTATCTTGATGTACAGCAGACGTACTCCATGTTTTTTTTTTTTCAACCACTGAAGTCAATTTGTGTTCATGAAGAATTTCGCCGCTGAAGACCCTCTTGATAGTCCCTCCAAGTAAACATTTTACTGGAAATTGAATTTTTCTCGTCTAGATTTTAGAAGAATGATGAAATTCCGTGAAATACCTGCGTTTGAGTTCCCACGAATTTATTTTGAACCTTTTACACTGGGCCGCTGACATACGGGCGAATTTCTAGAAAAATGGGAAATTTTTTATTTTTTAAAATCTCTTGCGTCAGTCGAGGTATCTGTATTCACGAAAAAATGAAAATGAATGCTATAAAAATGTAATCTGATTCATAATCCAAGACGAGTTAATTTTGTGCTTATTTTTGAAATATTCTACTCATGATACCCCCTTCGATTCACAGGATCACAGGTTGTCGAGAAGATTCTGCCCATCAATAAGTACATTGTCGGTACGATGGCGGGTGGAGCAGCAGACTGCATGTACTGGGAACGTTTGTTGAGCAAAGAATGCAGGATGTACGAGTTGCGGAACAGGGAGCGGATTTCCGTCGCCGCCGCCTCCAAAGTCCTCTCCAACCTGATTTGGAACTATCGTGGACAACTCTCGATGGGTGTCTTCGTCGCGGGCTGGGATAAAACGGTAAATTGCAGCGAAGATGTTGTGGATCGAATGTGACCCTTTCCGAGTTTTTTACGAAAAAACGAAGAGGATTTCCTTCGTGTAATTTTTTGAGTTGATCTTGTTCACGAAGATTCTTTGAGACTCCGCCCGTACAATTCATTATTTAGCTTGAATTTCGAATAATATCCGAAATTCTGAATATTGTTGGAACCAGTTCTTTTTTCAGAGGTTAATGCGTAATTTCTCATTTCTTGTGAACCCCTTCTCGTTATAGGCACTCTTTACAGGGTAACAAAATAATTGATCATACTGTATAAATGGCGTCTTGTGGAAATTTCTCAAATGTGTATGGAAAATGTAAGAAGTAGAATGACTCATTGAAAGATTAGTCTTTTTTTAAAAACTGATTTCCTTCATTTAATTTATGAGTTTTTCACATTCCCTGTTTTTTTTTTTTTTATTTTGGTAGATGAACGGAGATGAAATTTATTTTCGTCTGTTGCCAAGTTCCAGTTTTTCTCAAACATTTTGTGATACTCGTAATTTTTGAGTTGTTGACGCAGAAAGCGAGAGTTTAATTGAAATGTCAATTGGTGAGCATGAAGTTGATCAAGTCATTGGTGAAATTGAGGAACATTTTTGGCGAGTTAACAAAGGTTTGCCTTGAGGCTTGTTATTCATTTGACGTTTCTGAGGAAGCATTTTGAGCTAAAATACAAACCATTTCATCGATAGCTTTTTTAATCCGTTTTCGCGATGTTTTGCGTTGTCATTAATTTTTTTTTTAGCACAGTTAGACTCAACTGCACCGTTTTTGTCAGCAATTTTTTCTTCGTATGGCGATATTACAAAAAATCTCGTTATAGATAATGTCCACCTGTAATAAACATTACTGTTCTTTTTTTTTTTTTAATCAGGGCCCAGCCTTGTACTATGTGGACAGTGAAGGCCAGAGGACATCCGGAAAAGTGATGTCCTGCGGCAGTGGATCCATCTTTGCTTATGGTGTCTTGGATCGTGGATATCGTTGGGACTTGGCCGACGAAGAAGCCCAAGCCCTCGGCAGGAAGGCCATTTATCACGCCACAGTCCGTGATGCCGCTTCTGGTGGTCTCGTCAGAGGTACACATGATTTTTTCCATTTTTTTTGGGTCAAGAATTTAAATTTCTCGGAATTTTGGAGTTTTTATTAATGGTTCCGAGACGAAGAATGCGCGAGAGCCATGATTTCGTTGTTTTTTTTTTCGATTCCGCCTCAAATCCGGAACCAGTTATTTATTTCAGAGGGTTTTGCTGAATTTATCATTTCGTGTGAGCCCCTTTTATTGCAGGCACTCTTTACAGGACCAGAAAATAATTGATATTACTTTATGAAGAGTGTCTTTTTGTAGAAGTTTCTCAACTGTATAAATAAAAGTACGGCAAAGTATAAGAAATAATTATAGTAGATTAAAAAATTAATCTAAAAAACCACGTTTTCAAATCAGTTTCTAGGCTATCCTGAAAGTTTCAGCTTGATAGCTAGTCGGGAAGTGAGTGAAATTTGAGTTTCAAAATTTGATCCGGACAAACAAACAGACAAGAAAGTGAGTTCATAAAAACATGGTAATAGAATGCAAGACTGGTGAAAAGATGACTTTTTTTTAACTGAGTGGAAAAATCGCTGTTAATGTTTTTCATAGAGATTCTTAGAGACTACTGCCCATGGAAATGTTTTTTGCTTGAACGCCGAATATTTGAAAAATGTAGAAATCCTTGATATTTCATTGGTTTTGTCTAGATTTTGGAATTTTAATGGGGTCCTGAAGCATGATTAGGTGTCCACTAGTTTTGATTATTTTTTTAGCTTTGTTGAGTCATCATCCGGAAGGTCTGTGTCAGGCGCACTTTTATCTTGACATTCTGTATAGTTTTTTGTGGCAATGTTGAGAGAAGAGCGTGAGTGGGTTACTAGAAAATTATTGTTCGCAATCCAGCAGAGTTACGGTTTTTTTTTTTTTACACTGTGTCCACGCAAAACGGAATTGATCCATTTCTGTATGTGTTTCGTTATTTGTGATTTTCATAATGCGGAACGCAGACTCACTTACTTTTGCATTTTAAATTATCTAATTCGTTCGAGACACTCCTCAAACAGTAATAATAAACCATGGAAGGTGTTCTTTTTATTTTATTTTTTTCTGCGTAAAATTGTGAATTGTGAACTTTAGAAATATGAAATTCAAGTTATCCTGAGGAATCGTTTCCCTGAAAAATATACTTTACCCCTTTTTTCTTATCTTCCTCACATTTTCGAGAAAAAAATTCTGATGTTTCGATCGAAAACTTTGTAAAATTCGAGCACTTCGTGACGATACAATTTTGTAAATTGTGAAATCATTTCGTTGCTCGTAGCCTTTTTTTTTTGTGAAAAATTTCGTGATGCGAATTTTTGGTTGCTCGGATTTTTCTTTGTGTGGGGACTCACTGTGTTTATTTTTTTGACGAAGCTCTAATCGAAAAAATAATGATCGAACGGGGAATTTTCTGGAGAGCCCGAAAGTATTGAAATTTCACATTCAAACGATTACTCACTCGTAGTACCGATTTTGAATAGGATGAGGATGACTTTTTATTTCACCAACGTTGTATCGCCGGTGTTCTTGTTTATTCATCACAGTGTGCACGATAACGAAAGACGGATGGAAGATGATCAGCGTCGAGGATTGCAAAGATATATATTACCAACTGCACGAGGAGATCACGGCAGCATGAACAACAACGTCATCCCTGTACGAAATTTTCACGTCGGTGTAAGCGTGGGCGATGAATTTTTTCTTCTTCATCATCATCATCATTTGCTTCTCCGTCGCGCGCTGTCACATTTCGGTGGTTGAATGAAGAAATTCCTCGTTTCACGCTGTGGCAATTGATCGCTGGTTAATGAGCTCGGTTGGGTTCTGTCGACAAAATGGGCTTTTGTCAATCGAAGAATTTTTTTTCTCCTGCGTTTTTAAACTAATTACGGTTGAACCTCGAAAACTTTAAACCTTCCCGAGTCTGTTTTCTCCCTGTGTGAATTTTTTGTGCAAGTTCCTGTCTGAATTATCTTAGAACCAATGCATTAAAAAGCTCCATAACTTGTGAAGGCTTTCTCCCTTGAACCTCCATAACTTGAATTTTCTTAATGTCTTTTGGTTATTATTTTCCATTATTGTTATCAATTATTGTTGGAAAAAAGAGAAGAATGATGAAAATGTAACTGGATGAGTTTTGAAAAGAGTTGAAGGATCAATTTAGCAAATGAATCCATGCCACCAAGTTCAGCATCCTGTCAACTCATTTAAGAAGCTATTCATGATTTTTGGTCCCTTGAAGATTGACTTGAAGAGTTATGACTGGAATACCACTTTTTGGTTTGAATCATACGCAAGAAACTAATGCGTTGAATGCTAGTGTCATAAAGTGCATTATTTCATAATTTTCGATCACTGCTTTTTCCGAAATGGCGAGAACTTCCGCCTCGTGAAATACAGTAATTGCGGAGGTTGAAATTTATGAAAAGCAGGTTTTCAATAAAATTTGAGAAGTATTTTGCTAGGGCAATAATTATTGAAAAATTCCTGTTGATTATTTGAATTCATGATAAATGGCCCGAACATTTTGCACAATGATGAAACGCTGTTCTTGGCTATTTGAGACTGAAACTGAGAAATGTGACCATTAATTTTCTAAAACATTTGTCATCGCATGCAGTTTTCTTAATCGTGTTGAAGGGAAACCGTTTGAAGCAAGTACAGTACAAAATATTGAATTCCCGTGGGTGAACTTTGCTCAAATATCATTTTCCCTATTTTTTGTTGTTGCAATCATGAAATACGAGTGTTGAGGCTTTTCAATTTTGTTCCAATTAAAATTTTAAATTCATCCGTGGGAGAGGTCAATGTTATGAAATTGGTTTACTTTCTTCCGCTTCAACCTTTTTTTTAAATCGCAGCAAATTCTGCCTTATTTTTTTCTGGGAGAATTGGCAGCAAGTCTGCGACAGAGGTCAAAAGAAACACGAGGATTCAATGTCACTTTTGGACGGGACCCAACCGAAAATTCTAGTCGTTCTGTATCGAATTGGTCAAAAAGAAAGAGAGAAAAACCTTTGAGTAATGTCTGAATTTTGTAACATTTTTCCTTTAGGTGTCTGCGTGTGTGATGAACAGGTGTCTTGTGATGTTCGCGAAACGGAATACAGAAAAAAAGAACATGTGATTGATATCGTGCCTGTGTTGAATTTCGGTGTCGCTGATGTTCATGATTTTGTCGCGAATACGTTCCTGATTCTCACGGACGAAATCCGTGAGTATTTCTGCATTTTTGGAGGAATGCTCTTGAAAAGGAAAGGATCTGCTCGCATTTGAAGACGTACGGTTCCCTTGAGTCTATTGGTAGGGAAGTGAGTTTTTCGATCATGTATTTCGGGGTTTTGGGTGTCGAAAATGGAGTGTTTTGAGTTAAATTTCGGAGGACTCGGGCTTCAAAGTGTTTGGTATATCGTCGCAAGACGACGAGGATCCTGAGAAGTTTTGCTTGTTCATGAGAAACATGGAGGAAGCAATTTTGATATACAGTGAGACCCCAAGATGCAGACGTAATTGGTGCATCAAGAGTGTCCCTAAGTTGAAATGTCTATGAGTCAAGTCTCATTTTTCCTTATAAAGTACTTACATTATATAATTTTTAATTGGTGTTTTATGTACAAAATGCTCACCATAATTCCATGAAAATAAAAATTGTCTCGCAATTTAAACTGATTCCAATCAATATATTTCAACACAATATGGACGTTTGGGGAATTGAATACTGATACCTCTGAACAGTTCATAGAAACGTTGGCATTCTCTGTAAAAATAACATTCAAGTGAAAAAGAAAGAAGGAAGTCCCTCTATGCTGGACATAATTTTCCTAAATTAGCTTAATGGATGGCAAATTGGTGAGAGAAATGCCCAGGAACTTTCCTTACATCAATTTTAGGGTTCAAAATATCTGTTTCTTGTAATTTGGCCTGAAATGTATTTGCAATTTTATCACAAAATGTCCCTATGTTGAGTCAGTGTCCTCATGTTTGGCCTTTTTTATTGATTTTTCATGGGGAAATAAGTGTCCATATGTCAAATTGTCTGCACATCAAGGTGTCCGCATGTGGGGGTCTCACTATGTACAGTATTCTCTGATTTTGTTTGCCTTGGGAATGGACAAAATGCTTTTTGTTCCTCCAAAATCAACTGAGTGATTTTTTAAAAATTGAAAATTTCGCGTTCCCCAACTATGTGGAAGATGTTTCGATTTTGCAATGTGTATGAAACATTTTTACGCATTCGTGTACGTTACGAACGATACCGGGTATCTCAGTAATGTAAATTAAAAAATGTAGCCTGGTGAATTATTTCGAATTATGCAGTAGTCCAAGAAGTTCCTGAAGCCGGGAAAAAAACACTTGAAATTTATGAATTATTTTATTCTTACGAGAGAAAAAGAAACATTCGACTGAGTGCATTTTCCATGGTTTCTTCCGGGAAAAGAGATCATTTGAAATTCAATGGGATTGCCGTTTCCCCGTGAACATTTTACATTTTTTTTCATACCTGTTGGAAATTGTGTAGCCACGAGCAACGAAGGGATTTTGGAGTGATGGATTTTTAATTTAAATGCCCGGAATTCCGATACAGTATGCGGAAATTGCATTCGTCCATTATTTTATATTATTATTAATTCAGCTTACTTGTTTTTCTCACGCTTTTCCCCCCGTCCTAATTTTGAAATTCAGCGAATTATATCCTAAATCTCAGAACTGATAATTTTGAGCTTGAAAAAGTGGTTCACAGGACACACTTCTTGCATTGATCTTTTTCGTAAGGAATAATTGCTTAAAACAAATTCGTTTTTTAGATTGTTATCTCAAGCTTTCCAACTTCTAAGTTTTCCAACTTCTCCTAAGTTATCCTAACTTCTCTTTCAAGTAATGCTAGCAATATATTTCTTACACAGTTGAACCTCTCTAAGTCGAGTTCCAAGGGACCTGCAAAAAAATTTGACTTAGGGAGGTTTTGAATTACATAGGATTGACCTGCAATACAAAGCCCTTTTTCAGGGAAACTTGGGGAAGAAATACAAATGGTGATGTTCTGGGGCTTGAATGGCTTCTTAAATGAGAAGGGATGTCAAACTTGGAGGCAGTCTTCAAGTCTTTCACTTCTTTTAAAAGACACACATTTATGTTTTTATTGCTTTTTTTTCTTTCTTGGGTAAGGAAAATAAGGGCCAACTGGCCACAGAAAATTTGACTTCTGGAGGTTTGAGGGTAAAAGCTTTTGACTTAGGGAGGCTTTTAATGTATTGTTTCTAAGGGGATTCAGATGGTGACCTGAAAAGAATTTGACTTCGGGAGTTATTTGACTTGGGGAGGTTTGAGTTATCAAGGTTCACCTGTACCAACTATCTGCAACAAATACCAGACCAGCAATGAATATGGAAGATGTGTTTGGACACACCTTTATAGATTCTGTGCAACAAGAGGAGCATGACCACCCATGAACTGAAATGAAAATGGGACAGGTGAAAGGTAATGACTGGTGGCTGAATACTGTTGGGTACAGCAGTTGCCATACGCATATTGTGAAAGTGTGTCAGCAGAGGAAACTTCACAACATGATGTATTCTAAACTTGTTTCAGGACAAGATCTCTTCTCAATAGTGATGATGTTATGAGAATCTTTTTTTTTTTTTTACAATATTAGCATACCTACTGGTTTCACTGACTTTGTTGTGCAACAATGTTCTATGCAATTTAATTTTTCCCATGTTTCTTCAGGGGCGACATCTTCACTAAATAAAAACGTCTTTCCAAGTTTTGCAAAAAAAAAAAAGTTTTGTTGTTGAATTTTTGAAACTTCTGTTGGATCTATCTCAAAACTTTTGAACCAACCCTCTTATAATATCCCAAGTCCAAAGTCAAGTGATTTATCGATTGGGGTCTGAGCCGGGTTTGGCTACTGATGACGTTTTCCTCAGAGCAGGAAGTGTTTTCTGTTCTTATATATTTTCTTTCACGGCGTTTGTATATTCAGGACTGAACTCGTGGTAAGAAACGTGGTCTCGCATTCTCGATTCGGGGGAAAAAAGAAGTTGTTTTGCGAGTCACGTTGTCGTGTGTGTGTGTATTTTTTCCCTGTGTGAGTGAGTGTGCATTTGTTTGAACTCCAGCAGTAGGTGGTTGAAAAAAAATTACATAAACAAGAGGATCTAAAAAGTCAAGTTGGGGAAGCAAGCATTTTTGTCAGAGGAAATAAAGGTGATATTCTGGGGCCTAGAATATCACCAATTGCAATTTCCATAAAGAATCTACTCAATTTAATTTTGCCAAGTTATGGAAAAAACAAATTTTGTTGTTGAATTTTTGAAACTCTGTTGCAGTAGTGGTCAAGGGCCTCATTAAAAAGCAATTATTTATATGCTTCTCTGGGATATAAAAAACAATGATATAAATAAATTAAATCCTGTACAATTTTCAAAATGGTGGAATCCTTTGAATAAAAAAAAAGTCAACAAGCCCGTGTTGTTTATGTAAAAATTACATAAACAAGAGGATCTAAAAAGTCAAGTTGGGGAAGCAAGCATTTTTTTGAGAGGAATTTAAGAAGAATTATGGGAAATTGCAATTGGTGATATTCTGGGGCCTAGAATATCACCAATTGCGATTTCCATGAAGAATCTATACAATTTAATTTTGCCCATGTTCCTTCAAGGGCGACATCTTCACTAAATAAAAAAAACTTTTGCCAAGTTATGCAAAAACAAATTTTTGTTGTTGAATTTTTGAAACTCTGTTGCAGTTGAAAAATTATTGGAAAGCAATTATTTATATCCTTCTCTGGGATATAAAAAACAATGATATTGATAAATTAAATCCTGTACAATTTTCAAAATGTTGTAATTCTTTGAATTGAAAAAAAGTCAACAAGCCACTTGTTTTTTAGGTAAAAATTACAGAAAGAAGAGGATCTAAAAAGTCAAGTGAGGGAAGCAAGCATTTTTGTCAAAGGAAATAAAGAAGAATTATTGGAAATTGCAATTTCCAATAAAAATCTTTGCAATTTTGCCCATGTTCCTTCAGCAGCGACATCTTCACTAAATAAAAAAGTTTCGCCAAGTTATGCAAAAAATAATTTTTGTTGTTGAATTTTTGAAACTCTGTTGCAGTAGTGCCCAACTCAAAAGTGGTCAAGGGCCTCATTAAAAAGCAATTAATTATATCCTTCTCTGGGATACAAATAACAATGATATAAATAAATTAAATCCTGTACGATTTTCAAAATGTTGGAATCCTTTAAAATAAAAAAAATCATCATGCCCCTTCAATTTTTTCCGTAAGCTTGACAATTCAAGAAAGTTTAAGACGCACCAGATGTCGTCCCTCGAATGGAATATGATTGCAAATTTTAAAATTGCGTGCGTTGATTTCTCGTTTTATCAATTTGCGAATGAACTTGGGTCGTTTTTCTGTTCCTTTTACTGTGCATGCAGTACAAATTGATTGCTTTCGTTTTCAAATTTTTGTGTATTATAGCTTTCTGAACGATGCGAAATGTTGAAAAATATTGAGCACTACTCGACATTTTGAAGGAAAATATTTCCGAAACCTCAGCATTGTACGAAAAAGATAAATTTAAAAATCTATGTATGTACTGGAAATTGTCATTGACATTTTCAAAAAAATATATACAGACTTATTCATAGGATTTTTTTTTTTTTTTTGCTGATTCATAGTTGGAGTCACGGGGTTTTATGCGAATATGTTATGGAATTCCCTGTGCAAAAAAAAAGCGCTGAATCAGAAAAATGTCCTGCTTTTGGAATCCTGAAGTTATTCCCAGAATCACAGTTGAACCCAGGTAACTCCAAGCTCCTGTAGTAGAATGAATGCTTCCCTATTTCGTTTTAAAAATTGCCTCACAGCTCGTTGACCTTCCTTCTTTCTCTCCCTAAATAATTTTTTTTAGAAGTATATTTATTTGTATTCCCTTAATATTACGCTGGAACAGGGCGAAACCTGTGCCAACATCCGCGACTGGGGGATGTTGTGAAATCTTTTGGTTTCACAATCTGGTCAAGTTGGTTAAGCAACGCGTTGGGAATTGAAGGAAGAGTCCTTGCCACTCTTCTGGGGAAATATTGTAGGACAACACCACACAAATTTTCATGAATTCTTGGAAAATCAGTTTGACCATTTCCAGGGCATTTTAGCTACATTGCAGAATGTTCACATTTTTCTGTACCCCCCAACAACAATTTCAGAAAA